GTCATGATAGTGGAGTATGCTCCAGTTGCCAGTATTTCCTCACAAAGTCTATTTCTATTTCTTAAGGACCCACAAAGGAATTGAGGGGTGGAATAGCTTAACCCTCATTGTTTTGTCTACTAATTAGCCCAGTTTCTGACACATCAATTTTGGTTTACTGATTTCTGCTTTCACACTTTTCTTGTCTATCAAGCATAATCTTAACATAGGCTATGTCTACACTGCACAAATTAGCAGTACACAAATTGAGTATCTTTTTCCAATTTACTTTCAAAAGAGGCTTTTCTACACAGTGCCAAATTTCTGAAAAAAAAGTGCTCTTTCAACACATCTCTTATTCCTCATAGAACGAGGCTTACAGGGATGGCAAAAGAGCGTGTCCACTTTTTAAAAAAGTTAAAAAAAGCAGACGCATTCCTTGGACACGCTGTTCCTTTCTGGTATCCTGGAAAAGCAATGCAGTTTAGACGTAGCCTTAGTTCTTGAGCCATATCACTAGACCTTTTTATTGGGCTCAATTTAGTCTGTCTTCCTTTTCTTATCTGTTCCAATTACCATTTGTTATTGTAGGTTATTGTGAGATCTTATGAACTTTTCACAAACTTTTTTCAGTTAAGATCACAATTTGGGTAAATTTGTGTCCAATTATCACAACAGTTGTCTTCCTCTGAAATAAAAGTTCCACTCATGGAGATAATGAGGACTAGTTAGTCAGGCATAGCTGTTCTGGAATAGCTCCTTGTGTAGACATATACTTAATGGGCATTCCACAAATGTCCAATTCATACACATTTTTCAATAAATTACTCCTTCAGATTCCAACCACTTAGTGCCATGGAAGGAAGTTTGCTTAGAGAATATCAATACTGGACTGTTTTGTAAGGGCAGAAAATCCAGGAGTCTGGGGAGGGATCTATAGCCTATAAACAGTTTAGTATTCAACTCCCATTGAAAATCAATGGTATTTGGGTGCCTAACTGCCATTTGTACCTTTGAAAATTCTCTTTGCTTTTAAGACTTCTCACTTTATTCTCACCACATCTAGCTGTGTTATTAGCTCATTGTGGCATTCACCCCTAGCTTCACTGCAATAATGCTTCTTGTTTTCACTAGTCATTATAGTAGTACAGGAAACAGAATCTCTAGCTCCTGGGAAATTCTGTGATTTTGAAACTAAAGAACAAGCATGAAGATATTTCATAATTTCCTGGAGAGGGTCTTCAGTTACTACCAAACATTCTTTCTCTCAGGGTATGTCTACACTACAGTGCTATTTCAAATTAACTTATTTCAGGTAGGAGGGAAACCGAGTGGGCCCAAGCCACACTATTGTGGGGTCACCTGGGCCCAGGGGTGGAGGGCATGAAGTGTGGGGACAGTGGCCGGCCTGCCTGTCTGCCTGACCCATCCTTTCTTCTCTTCCCAGCAGTGGGACTAAGCACAAGCCGGGGACCCTCCAGTCCGACAGCAGCGGCACCCCCAGCTGCCCAACCACGCAGGCACAGGCTCCATCAACGCGACCAGCTCCTTCACCAGCACATGCAGGCGGTTGAGCAAATAGAGGGCTCCATTCGCGAGCGCATGCAGGGGGACCTGCAATGGCCCCAGGAGGCCTGGGCCGCCTTCCAGGCCCAGTGCACGTGCATGGCTGACTCCGTGGCCACCCTCATAGCGCACATAGCACATGCGCTCCATTATGGCATGGCCTTACCCCATGCCCCCGCCATCCCTCCCCTAGCACTGCCCATGCCCCCTCCTGCCCCTGCAATGCCCCCTGCTCCAGTGAGGGGGACCTGCAATGGCCCCAGGAGGCCTGGGCCGCCTTCCAGGCCCAGTGCACGTGCATGGCTGACTCCGTGGCCACCCTCATAGCGCACATAGCACATGCGCTCCATTATGGCATGGCCTTACCCCATGCCCCCGCCATCCCTCCCCTAGCACTGCCCATGCCCCCTCCTGCCCCTGCAATGCCCCCTGCTCCAGTGCCCCCTCCTGCCCCTGCAATGTCCTGCCACCCCTCCAATACCCCCTGCTCCTGCTGCCCCTCCAATGCCCTCTGCTCCACCCACCTCCCTGTGCAGCCTGCCCCGATGCAATCCCACCCCAGTCTTCACACACCCGTATGCCTATTGGGCCATGGCCCCTGGGTGTCATGCAGCTGGAGCCACCTGCCCAAAGGCAGCATGGCATGTGCTTGCACGTGCACAGATGGCTGCGTGATCCATGGGAGGCATGGCCCATGCATGCGGTCCCTGGTCTCTCTTCCCCACCTCACTCACAGTAGGGGACATTGCTGGCACTTACCTGGTATGACCTCCCAGCTCGCTGCCTCCCGGGTGGGCGCGGAACGCCCCGCCCCCCAGGATTTGGTTGAGGGCGGGGAAGTAGGGGCAGTTGTCAGCCCTTACTGCAGTGCTTCCCCCGGTGGCTCTGATGTACACCTGCTGCAGCTCCTTCACCTTCAGGCGCACCTGCTCCTGGGTGTGCCTAGGGCCTTTTCTGGCCATGGTGGCCGCTATGTGGCCATAGACGGCCGCGTTGCTCTGCCTAGTGTGGAGATCATGGAAGCTGAGCGCTTCCCCTCAAACCTCAATATGATCCATGATCTCCACATTAGTCTATTAGGGTGTGCGCCATCTACAGCCCCTGGCTGGCCCCTGGGTGCTGGGGGACTGGGCTGGGGGCAGCTGGCTGCCACTGGCTGGGGTTTTGGGGGCCCCCGCTGGGGG